GAAAAGGAAATATATATATATATATATATATTTATATTCTTATTATATATTAATGTTTATATTTGTTTAAAATATTCCTCAAAAATGTAAAAATGAAAACCGATGGAACTATTAGATATCAAAGTTAAAGTATTCGTCGATTTATATATATATATATATATATGATATTATATATATATATATATATATATATATATATATTGCATATGGACCAAGGCTCAAAAGGGAAAACGGGGAGGCTGGTTTTTTATTTGTTTTAAACTTACATTTTGACCCAAACATATATATATATATCAAATATATATATATATATACAATATAGGCCTGTAATCAGGAGGTTTTAGGAGCCTGGAACCACCTTTGAACTTTTAGTTTCTGATGACCCAGGGGTAGGTTTCAGGTCCCAGCCATGAACAAATAGTTAGCCCCTAAACTTGGGTCAAAATCAGTGTAAAATAGGTTTTATATAAAATGCCATCAATATAAAAAATAATAAAAATATAACACACACACACACACACACACACAACACACACATATATATATATATATATATATATATATATATATATATATATATAAAAATATATATAATCCCTAGCAAAGTTAACTTTGTTGTAGATCTATTCATCAGAATGTGGATGATAAAATTATGTATTATTAAAAGTTCAATTCGTTTGCGTCTGGGGTGCTATGAAAATAGGTTTTGAGATTTGAATTTAAACAGGCCTCCAGTTTCAATTGAAGCGTAAAAAAAAAATGCTATTGTTTTAAGACATTAATTTCTTTTAATTCATTCTGTGATTAAGATATATTATGGACACTATTATTGTCTTGGAGAAAATATTTTTCATAAATAGTGAATTTTGGAATTTTTTTTTTTTTATTAAATTTATTTAAAAATAAAGTTTTAAATTTTTAAATTTCTTCATAATTTCACTGTTTGGAATATTGTTATTAAATATGAGACATTCTGTTACTATGATTCATCGACCCCAATATTTTAAAAGAATTTTCTTTCTTTTTTGTCTATATAAACGTGCCGATTTTTCTGCGGAAGGTCATAAAATCAGAAAATAAACTTTTGTACCAGTAAATTAGTTATCGGCATTTAATTTTTTAATGATTTTAGTATACCTCAGTAGATTTTATGATCGTTGAAGGGAAAATCTGTTTCTGGATTTTTTTTAATGCTGTTCTGTCAACAGATGCGTATAGTTTGTTTTTTTTTTTATTTATTGAGAGATTATTCAATTTTTTATTTGTAATTTGTTGTTACCCGCCATTTTATAAATTACTAAGCGTGAAGGACGTTGTAAAATGGGTGAATAAAACGTAAAATGTTACATACATAATTTTTCAAAAGAAATTAAAATAAACCATTCTTATATACATAAAAACAGGGAATATACGAACACATATTTATATATATAATTTAGCTACATAAAAATAGCCATTTTGTTTCAAACAAACACTGGATTTTGTACACACACACACATGTTATACTTTTTAAATAAACAATTATATCACACACACACACACACTTTTTAAGAATAGTAATTGTTCTTGGAATTTATTCCATAACAATCCTTGGGCATATACATATATATATATATATATATATATATATACACATATATATGTTCTCTACCTGTCCCGTAACCCCGTATAGGGCATCATATGCTACAGTGTAACAGACACAACACTGCTGTATGACTGCAGCCATCATCCTGACCCAGAGTGGTGTGTCGGCAAGTTACCATGACGGAGCCCCACCCCTTCAGACTATTTTTTTTTTTTTTTTTTTTTTTTGGTGGGGATTTAGAGGATCTGTTGGGGGATATTTCATTTTTCTCGCTAATTTATTTACACGATCCCTTCCTCGTCTATATATACTTGTTTAAAGTGTTTCCCCCTTTTTTTTTTTTTTTTATTTGTAGATACTTTTAATTGATTGTCTCCTTGATGAGATGTTGGCTGAAAGGGGCCCTAGAGACTTTTAAAATTAAAATCAATGGTTTCCTTGTTTTTTGAAAATATATATATTTAAAAATATATTAAAAGTTTTCTGTTGTTTGTCAATTTTATATTGCTTTTGCTTTAAGGGAGACCCTGTTGTTCAGATATTTTTTATTGGTTGATGCCTGAGCCATATATGCTTATCAGAGATTCAAAGATATCCACCGTCAAAGATAATATTGTTATTTTGCATAAATTACATTTTTGATAACGTTTGCAGTTTAAGTTTTTGTTTTTAGACCATCTTCAGGAATTTTTTTGGGTTTTCAAAAGTCCTGAAGATGGTCTAAGAGTTTCCTGACGTTTAACGATGTCACAAACTCCAGCATCTTTTTTGTTGCATTTTTGACTCTTATATGTATTTTATATATATATATATATAAATTTAGATGAGGTTGATATGTGTTTTAGGTTTCTAGATTGGCGTTTGCATCTTAATTATTTTGGTTGTTTTAGTATATTATTCAGTTTATTATTCTTGCTAAGTAAATCTAGATTTTTGTGATTTCTGGGAATATTTCTGGTAATTTTGTTTTTGTTTTACGTTGAGACATATGCTAAGAGTTTGTTCGACGTAATCATTTCAATTTACGTTTCTTTTATTTCTAAGTTGGTCTAGAGGAATTTCTTTAATTATAGCAATAAAAAAGTTCAATTGTAAAATAAACCTTACAAATGAGAAATCAGAAAACCGTGTTTATTTATTAGTGTCATTTACACGTAGATAGTCTTGGGTAGCCTCGTTTCTTGAGAGTTTTATGTAGTTCTTCTAAGCGGATTTTTCGGTAAAGATGTTTATCAGTCACTATTGTACAAATTCTACGTGCTGGGGAATAGGGATGGATTTTAGGCAGCTTTTTGGGTGATGGCTCTTGAAATGAACGTTTTGTTGGGTGTCTGTGGGTTTGTGGTAGATATCTGTGATTATGTGGTTGTTTTTATTTCTAATGGTAGATATCTAAAAATGGTAATTCGTTAAAATTATATTCTTGCCGTGAATTTGATTTTTTTTGTAAGTTTGAAGTTTATTAACAACTTTCGGATTATTGGTTAATCCCCAGGTTACAACAAATCTTGTATCCATGATGATTTCCAAAGATATTTGCCGCAAAAAAAAAAGCAATCATCTAGATATCTTTTCCAAGATTTAGTGAATTGGGTCTTTAAATATTTGTCCCATATATTTGTTTTTATCTTTTCATAGAGGTTTTCTTCTAGGTAAGCTAATGTTAGGGTGGATTATATGTTGGTGCCATTTTGTTTCCATCGTTTTACCTAGGGTTTGGATATAGTTTTGTTGTCAAATATAAAGGTGTTATTGTTTAGAATTAGTGGTCTATACTATCGATAATGAACTCTTTAGATGAAATGGAACGGATGTTTTTAGTATTTCTGGATGTTTTTCAATTTTCCAGAATGAGATCCTTTTTTCCCTCAGTTCATTGGGGGTATGTTACTGTATAGGCTACTGATGTCAAAAGTTGCCATAAGCGTTCCCTGATCTACTTTTTTTGTGGTATGCAGCTAAGGAAATGGATATCGTCTCTGATATGGCTTTTAATTTGTTTAGTATATGGTTGCAATATTATTGTCTTTTACAACAAATAGCAGCAGCTAAAACTGAGTTTGCTAGTGGGACAGACTGGTACCTGAATGCTACTAATGAAGCACAATGGGTCTAAAATGCAGTACTTAAGGTCATTTAGGGGTTTGGGATGCTAATGTATTCAAACAAGATTTAAATGTATGTATAGCACTGCTTTTATTTCAACAGAAAGATTTATGAACTTTTGGAGTCGTAGAAATTACTTGTTTTTGGTACAAAGTTTATTATGGAAAATCCTTCTCTTTTTTTTGTATTTAATATTTTGAAATTATGTGTTGTGCAGAGTTTTTGTAATTTTGTTATAATGTTTTTGTCTATGTTAGTGTCAATTATTTTTTTTCAACAAAGCTGTTCCTATCCTCTAGTGTTTCTAGAATTTTTGTTTTATAGTATGTTCTGTCCATGATTACTATGGTTGTGTGTGCTGCCTTTATCTGATTTTCTTCACTTTTTTTTATATTTTTTTATTATTTTTTCGAATGTTCTAAGGCTAGTTTTTGTCTATATGTGAGATTGTCGAATGATTTGGTTTTTTCCTGTAGGTCAAGGTTAAGACAGCGTGTTTTAAAACAAAAATTGTATTTTATCTCATTGGTATTATTATTTTGTTTGGGAATAAATTGGATTTGTTTTTTATATATATACTCATCTGTATATATATATATATATTGTTAAATATTTCTCTTAGTCTCAGTTTGGGATAAAGTGCTCAATATCAGAGATAGAGCGTATGTAAATATAAATATAAAAGTGAACATTGAAGTCAACACTCAGAGGTGACAGGCTGTTTCATGCTAGACGTAATCGTATCGTCAGGCCGCAAATATATATATAAAAAGAACGTATAAACATAAAAATGTATATATATATATATATATATATATATATATATATTTGTATAGAGGCATTTGAATCACAGTGACAGTAAAACCGGATATAGAGCGTATCCGATTGCTGGCCTATAATAACAGTCACGGTCGGTATCAACAAAAGGCCATGATATTCTCTTAACCGCTTTTCCCTGGGTAGTTTCGATGCCCTCCCCCGTTAGTATTGCCGGCCGTATGTTGAGATGTGTAATTGGTAACGAGGAAAAACTAAACTGTTATACTGAGATGGCAGAAGTTATCCCCAGGTGTCATCTACATACCCACTCAAACCAACCAAGCGAAGCCCTGAATAAAACACCTATTTTATATTCTTGGATAGGGGGTTCGAGGTTTTATTTCTCGCCTCGACGTTTATTTGCATATTTAGTATAGTGGTGAAGGTGCAGCGAGCCTTTCCCAGTTTTTGGTGCATCTGACATGAACGAGAATGGAGACGCAATGCGTGGAGGACGATGGAAGAAAACCCCGATTTATGTTTTATGACTCTAAAGAGAGAGAGACAGATAGAGATAGAGAGAGAGGGTTAGAGAAAGAGCGAGAAAGAGAGAGGGAGATAGAGGGGGAGAAAGAGAAAGAGAGAGGGAGAGAGAAAGAGAGAGGGAGAAAGAGAGAGAAAGAGAGAGGGAGAAAGAGAGAGAGAAAGAAAGAGCGAGAAAGAGAGAGGGAGATAGAGGTAGAGAGAGAGGGAGAGAGAAAGAGAGAGGGAGAAAGAGAGAGAAAGATAGAGGGATAAAGAGAGAGAGGAATAAAGAGAGGGAGATAGAGGGGGAGAGAGGACTAGAGAGGGAGAGAGAGAAAGAGAGAGGGAGGGAGAGAGAGAAAGAGAGAGGGAGGGAGAGAGAAAGAATGAGGGAGATATACGGGGAGAGACAGGGAGAAAATGGGAGAGAAAGAGAGAAAGAGAGAGAGAGAGAAAATAAATACGATCCTACAAACAAAAAACTATTGACCCAGGCTTGAGCAGCTAAAAAAAAAAAAAGGTAAAAACAAAGAAAGAAAATTCCTAAACTCGGCGAAAAGAGGCGGTGATCAATAGATCAGACCCCACCCCCTGAGACAAAAAAAAAAAAAAAAAAAAAAAACCAGAAACTCAATGCAAAAAGAAAAGCGGGAACACATTCCGAAACCGATTTTCAACGTGACTGCACTGAGAGTTCACGTGTAGAGCTATTTTCAGACAGTTTGTCTGGTGCTCCAATTATTATAGGCAGGACCGGAGCGTATTACCCGCGAATCCCCGATCGGCGTGGGAGGAAACCTGATTGGGCAGAGTTTTGTGACCCTCGCTATCTTATCAAAATTTGCTTTTTTCTATCTACGTTAAAAATTAAACTAAACACAACTATTAAAGAATGAAAAATTTTCGCGGATTTTGACGTCATTCTAGGCGTTTTTTATTTCTCCTCGAAATCCATGAATTTGTTTTGTTCATGCTAAGTAGATGTTAAAAATTGCCGCAAAACTTTAATCTATTTAAAATGGAATGACATAGCTGTAATTTGTATTTAGATACATTGTAATTATTTTCATTTTTTCTTGTTGAATTTTTCATCTATATTGTATATGATCCATTATTGTGCATAATTAGGTTACAATAAAATGTGTGTTCTATATGAATGCTACTTTATGAAAATTGAAATGTAGTTGAATGGGAGCGTCTCATAGATTGTGGGGGTTGAGCTGTATCATTAGAAAACATAACTTCGAAAAGAACCACATGCTGTCTATTAAGCAGAAACAGTATTTAGTCACCCCCCCCACACACACACACCGGCTAACAAGGGCTCTGGTGAAAATCCAAGGAGCGTCTGCATCGGCAACCGGCGGCTTCTGGTCGTTCCTGTCTCTGCGTCTGTGGGAACCCCGCGGCAAGCAAGAACGTTATCCGAGTAGGCCTGGGTACCCTACTTCTGTAATTTATCCCAAGAATCTTCTTCTCATAACAGGAAGAAGCCGGCTCAATCCGCCCAGGGTGAATGCCGCATCACCCCCCCCCCCCACGAGGGCATCATGTGGCACCGTATGTGGCGATTGTATGATATGTTTCTCTTCCTCTCCATTTTCCTCGTAAAAAATGTTTTATAGCATTATTTTGATTCTGTGCCCCCAAGAAGATTTTTAAATAAAAAAAAAAATCAATACATTTTATCTGATATTATTTTTCGTAAGATATACACACACAAGAGAAAAACCATGTGAGAAAGTAGCCGTTACTTTCGAAATCACTATAATTCAAGAGAACCTTGGGCAATCATGTATCTTTCGATACATGACTGACGAGGCAGATATTTTCTCGCAGTACGTTGCCATTTCTTTTTGCTGCAGACCAGTTGCTACAGAAGCCGGTCTGTCCTGCTATTTACCCATAGCCGGGGTGGGGTGGGAAGAAAAGGATTCATACCTTTCCCAAGGGTCAGTCAGTTACGTGTCATGCGTGATACACACTTAGGCCATCAAGTAAATTTCGATACATGACTGACGATATTTGCGCGTAAGTGAATATAACGAACCCAATGAGATTTCGAACATGGCTCGCGGATTAACATTTCTGAGCCATTATCCATTACACCCGAGCTTACAGCACGTGGTATTCCCAAGCGGTCACCCATTTGAGTACTGAGCAGGCTCGACGTTGCCTAACTTCGGTGATCTTACGGAAACCGGTGTTTTAATGTGATGTGGCCGTAAGCCTTTAAATATTCGTCATCTTTATCGTAATTATAATTTAAATATATGGTAAATTGTTGGGTGTGCGGTTAAGGCAACGGTTATTGGCGCAAAATGGAATCAGCATGCTGAGTTCAAATTCGGACACTGTTTCTTTCACTTCGCACTAATAGTCTTGGAAAAGGAACAAAATCAATTTCCTCCGGGGTAATTAGTAGGACAGAATGTACTCTATTGTTGTACCAGTGGGGAGGAGTAAAAAACATTCTGAATTCAAAAGCAGCACTGAAGAGGGATCAGCCTCGTCAGATTAGGTTGCCTTAGACACACCTAGTGCTTCTATGACGACAGCACATGTGATATTCCAACGATCCTAACAAAACTCGTAGGCATGATTACTGTATAAATCTTATTTGTTACTTAACGTATTTCTTTTGCTCCTTATTTGTATTGCAGTTATAACACGCACTCCAGAAACCCTGTCCACGAGGCAATGATTAATCGAGACGCAGTCTCTTACGACGGTAACATTCTTGTAAGTCACAGTATATATATAAAAGTGTCTCTGTTAGTATGTGTGTGTCTTTATGTAAGTATATATAGGTGTGTATTTAAGTATATATAGGTGTTCAGTATATATATATATATATATATATATATATATATATATATATATATATATATACACGCCCACTCATACACACTTCTATGTGGCAGTACATTGTCAACGTATTGTGATGAATTTCAGCCCCTGACACACCATCCGACCAGAGAAATCGGATCCTTGCTCTATGTTCCTCATTGGTGCACACTGCTAGTGGTGCGACCATGTTTATACTGTAACTCAGTAGGATCGATCTTTCCCTCCACTGAAGAGCGGTTTCCAGACGCAAAAGTCAACACGTCTACATTGCTTGACGTGTAAGTACCAACTCCCTAAAAAAAATTTCTTTATCGTTCTCACGCCAATCAAAATCGACTTCCTTGTTTTGTCTTCCATCTCATCTCAAATGTCAACCCGAGGAAGTCGTAGCAACGATACACTTCATCTAAAAATTAATAGTCTGCTAAATTATTATTTAACACTAGGCCGGTATTAATTTCATTGTTTAAGAAAATCTAAAACAAAAACAAGGATAATTACGGATTTAAAAAAAAAAATAATTAAAAAATTACTGTTCTTTACGTTTCGAGTACAAAACAGATATAGTTTCGTAGACGTCCCAACGAGGAATGTGCTTTCTTAACTAGGTAATCTGAACTTTGCTTTATCAACGCGAGGTAAGAATTCATGATTGTTATAATGACAGTAACATGATTCCTCCGTACTGATGTTAAGACAGGTTTGCCTAATGAAATTGCATAATTAAATTTGCTCCACATAATTTCTTCTAGCAAATTGAATTAAATTAAATTTATAACTGAGAAATATTTATTTTACAATGGAAAAATAAATTGCTATTGTTATTTATTCACGTGAGTCAGTTTTCAATTTCAGTGACACCTGACTTCATTATTTATTATATATATAGTGAGACTGGTCCCCACCTTCGTGTTTGCAATAATTGTGTCCACATATAAATATAAATAAGATCGGATTAAGAAAAACAGACACTGAATGAATGTTGGACAATCTCCTGAATGACGAAGAAGAGACTTAAATCAACAGAAATGTGGTTCTACAGAAGGATGCTGAGTATACTTTGTACTCGAGATATGAAGAACGACGGAGTCTTGGAGAAAATGAAAACACTTATACTTAACATCAGAAAGAGATAATTGAAATTTCTAGGGCTCATTATGAGGAAAGAGGGCTTAAAAGTTTGACACACACAGGATACTTTCAAGTCAAGAGGAACAGAGGGAAACAGCCCATAACCTACCTAACGAGTTTGCATAAATAGTTGACAGAAGAGGGTTTAGGAGCGAAAGCAAACAGGAAATTGTGGAGAGCCATGATCGCCAATGTCCTGGAGAGACTTGAAAAGGACATTATTTTCTGATTGATTTGTTTTTTATGGTTTATCAACCCTTTGTAGATTATTTAAAGCCAGCAAATTTATATTTAATTTAGAATATATATATATATATATATATATATATATATATATATATATATATATATATATATATATAGTTAAGTTATAAAGAACTTGGTAAACCGAATTGGTAAATCCAAGGAGGACGAAATCCTGAGAGCTCAATGTGAAGAACAGAGCTAATATTTAAAGAAAAACAGACCAGTTTAAGGTACCATTACAATAATTTATTTCACCAAAATCCTTTTTAAAGGATTTCGGATCATCAGGTAAACACTTCCAACAATGAAATGAGAAGAAAAATGTGATTAGAAATTGATGGGTATTGTAATTTTTGTAATTAAACAGGGAGGGTGAAGGTGGCGGTTAAAGAGACAATACAAAATATAGGGAGGGTCAAATTTACATCTCTCTTAAATAAGCTTTATATTGGGGTAGGAGGAGTGACCTATATATATATATATATATATATATATATATATATATATATATATATATATATATAAAGTTGTAGTCTCTGTCTGTCTGTCATAGAAATCCTCCTAGACTACCATAACCATTTATATTCTGAAACTACATTACCCAGGGTACTCGGATAAGTATATTTCATTTTGATCAAAGGGAGTTCCCGGTGTTGGGGGTGGACAGCCCCCACTGATTTTTTCCCTTTGATTTAAATTAAATTTAAACAAGAGAATGACTCCTATCCAAAATATAGAAGGAGAAAGCTAGAAGATGGAGGTTACATCGGCAAGATCAAAATAAAACAATATGGACGTCAAGTTAAACAAGAAATCACCAATCAGTAGATAGTGATTTGCAATACATATTTGTTGCGACAGTTCAATTGTTATATCAATGTTGAAATCTGATCATCAATTCACTCAATCAATTATTGCATCAAATACATATCAAAGGGGTCAGATCAAGCTGTTTTTGCACAACCCCACTACTAAAAAGTACTCTTTATGTGCTGTGTCTCTTCAGGACATAGGTGATCATGGCTCTTTATAACCTCCTGTCCTTTGCAGCTCTCAGTAAAGATTGTCCTTTTGATATCTCTCCTAATCCCTGTTTTGACAACCATTTACACAAGCTCGTTTGGTAGGATTATGAACTGCTTTCCTTTATCCCGTTTGCCTAAAGAACAAAACCAGACAGTACATTGTGGCCGTGTTCATAATTGATATCATTTAAGGTTGGTTTCTTGCTTTTCATAATAAGAGCTTTCATCACTTATAAATGCTTTTTTGCAGTGAAGGGGTAAGCATCACAGACGTGTTCTCGGTGGAATAAACATCTGATTGTAAGCGTTTTTAATACTAAACCTGGTTTCGAATCTCACCAAGGAGGCGACGTCTTTTTAATATCAGACTGGGAAGATGATCCCAATACGAAGTGACGAAAAAAAAACGGCCGCAAACCATTCCACGAATTGGCCAAAGGTTTCTGATTATAACTGAGTAGACGAAACTATCCGAAAGCTATCGATGGTTGCATTAGCACGGTGTCACAAGTCATCATGGCCGAGTGTATCAGTTCGACTACTGCTCATTTCACATTATGCGCTCTCTCCCAGAAACAGTAACTAAGGTCTGTTCAGCATATTTTCAGTGTAAAATGTGGGTGACGAAGAAGCAGAAATATGTTTGAAAGGGCGCCTGCAGTAGAAATTAGTTAGTTACACTAGTAGACTCAACAGTCTCCAGAGACTGGTGGATCACTACTATTTTATGAATTAGTAGATATATTTAACAGTGTATGTTCCTTTTTGCCTTCAATATCTCCAGTAAGTGCCAAATTTTCAAAACATCCTTTCCTTATGTGTAAAATAAAATAATAAAAATATGTCTTGCGTAAAATTCTCCAGCGCCTCAGTACGGTCTTATATCAATGAGAATCTCTCAGGAAGATGGATCGGGCGTTCCAGTAATAAAGAAAATGCGCTGTTGAAATAGCCACCATGTACGCCTTACGATTTTTTATGGGGCTATGTGAAAGGAAATGTCTATATCCACACCACTTCCTACAAGCCTAGAGGAACAAGCAAAAAATCACTGATGCGCTGGATAATGTTACGCAAGACATGCTACAGCGTGTTTAGCAGAAGCTGGACTACCGACTTGACGTGTATCACGTCACAAGTGGTGCGTAGTATATTGAACATTTGTGAAAGTTGGTGAAGTCGGTTATAAAATCTACATGCCTTGAATGCTCTGTTCGAATTTTGATAAATAGATATTTTATTGTTCATCATGAAGCCGATTCAATTTCGTTTGTATGTGACATGTAGTTACTCAGATATTCACATTTTAAATGATGTCAGTTTTTTGGGAACACTGAAAACATAAAGCATTTTTTACTTTTTTTCCCGGAAATATTTCCTGATGTCATAATCCGATCAATCAACATTAATTCAACAGCTACTACATTATAAGACTGACTTGACTATCACGAGTTCCATAACTCATTACAGCTGTAGGGGCACTACATGTATTGTAGCCATACAGCAATAGTGTGCCTTGGGCAAGACAGCCTGATAGAGTCTCTCCCTCTCTTTCTCTAGGATGGTGTGAATTCAGAGCTTTCCTTCATCTAGACCGATTGCCAACCAAGGTTATAGTGTCTGTCCTTCTATTTACATATAGCAGAAGGAAGAATAAAATGAATTCATATCATTTCTAAAGGTATTTGCGCATAAGTAAATGTAACGAACATTCGAACTCGGCTCTCCGATTCCTCATTCTGAATCGCTATCCATTACACCCTCCGCGCATCCGCAATTGACTTGACTAAACGATTGCTCTTGTCTCCATAAGATTTTTTGATACCATGTCCCTTGCCAAAGTATGCGATCATTTTCCTTGGCATATTAGGAAAGACAGTGGAGTGGTTTCTCCATTACCTTCTCCAAGATCTGAAAGTCAGAGTTTAACTTCTCTCATATTAGTGAATCCAATCTGACCTCTTATCTAACCTTATTTCTAAAGAAGTAAAAGCACTTGGTCTAAAAGATCGCACTGAAGTGCGAAACTGCCAATCAACACGCTCTTGCACACACATTATATATATATATATATATATATATATATATATATATATATATATATATATGAAGAAATATAGTCTTAAGATGTGCTATATTTATGGGATAAAGTGCTCAATATCAGAGATAGAGCGTGTGTAAATATAAAAGTGAACATAGACTGTCGCCTCTAAGTGCTGACTTCTATGTTCATTTATATATATATATATATTTATATATATATTTATATATATATATATATATATATATATATATATATATATATATATTATGAAATTGACAATTATTTTAAGACATTTTATGTTTATACATTCTTTTTTATAGATACAAATATTTAATAATATATTTAATGTTTATAATAAACAGTATTAACAACATTTACCGGCCTGAATGTCCGAGAAATTTTCATAGAAAATATGCGTCCTCCGACAGGAATCGAACCTGTATCCTATACGGAACCGTCATATAGCCTGACATGCTTTTACCAATTTCGCCACAATTGTAGTTTAGTATATCTTTTCTTATTATGCTTGCTTTCTTTTTCTCTCTAAAACTAGGAGTAGATGTGTTCGCCTATCGTCAGGTTCACACTCATCCCCGGTGTTTTAAACAGAAGTAGAGGTTCCCTGTTTAGGATTAGGAGCTCCGGTTTCTTCTTAAGTTTTTTTTTTTATTCCCTTTCATTCCCACTAGTCCCCTTGCATCTTAGTGGCATTATCGCCTTGCTTGTGGTGAATTAATTAAATTTGAAAACGGAATTGTCCATTATTTATCTGAGGTAATGACAGGGCGTAATCCATGCTTTAACTAAATAACGGGGGATCAAGTAAAAATGATAATATGATGAACTCGTCATCCTAGAAATTCAGACATAAATGGAGGAAGATTTCAGATATAGACATCCAAATTATATGAGATCTTTGATATAACTATAGATTCCAAGCATCAGTCTGTCATCACGTAAGCCTTAAAGGTTACTGAACAACTTGTTCTGTTTTAATGCATATTAAACATTATGTTTTCGGAATTCTAGGTCAACAAGAAACTTGCAATAACACCGATAGCAAATATGAATAATTAATAAACTGAAATGGGACGGGTATGGATTTTTCTCTGAATTATCTTGACCCTCACCATTTTTGTGCTTAACTGTGAATGCGCATGCTCACAGACATGAATCTCCAGCCAATCTTACTTCTCCCTTTCTACAACGTTAAGTCTAATTTTCTTTTATTACGTTTTTATTAACATTTTCAAACAATATCGACGCCAGGCAACGCAGTCTGGTGACACACGCGTGTAACTATTCATTACTTTGTCGGAGATCCTATTGTGTTTTTGAACGTGTGACTATTTTACAAGGCACATGATGAATTTCCACTCCAAACACAGTCACCATTTTTTATTGTTTTTAAGTTTGTTTTTGTTTTTGTTTTTCGTATTTGCTTTTTTCTTTTTTTTCTTTTTTTTTTTTTTTCTCCCCCCCCCTTTTCACTCATTACCGTATTCGGTCTGCAAATGTAATGACCTAGCTACCATGTTATGCACGAGCGTTTTCACATGTGCAAGTCAAAGACTGACACGTATTTTGTCCACGTTCAGGGAGCATCATTTCGGGGTTTTGCTGAAGAGCCGGGTTCGTAATTCTTTGACCGTCCACGTTGATTTACCGCCAAACCGAAGCCCGTAGGTCTGAGTTGGTGGCATTTTTCAGCGCCCTCGTAGCAAGGCCTTCAAGAACCGCCTAGTTACGTTACCTCCACAGAGTTGAATCACCCTCATTTCTTACGAAGAGCGCTCCCCCACCCCGAAAGCTTCTTCCTAAGAAACGCTACTTTGTCTCCCGCGTGGATACTCCCCTGAATACTACCATCTTAACCTCTTGAAGTGTAGAGTCAATCGTTATCTATCATCCTTATCCTCGTATTCTTCACTTTCTACTTCCTTCTCTGACGTTCACATCACACACCTCATTAATAACGAGGTGGTAGCACCTGTTAGGGTCCGAACTATGGGCAAATAGTGAACCTGCAAAGTAAAAATAAAGTATAAAAATACGTTTTTATAATAAAATTAGAAATCAATATTTTGTTGCCTTTTTATTTCAAAAGCGCCAAAAACGAACTGACGCAAAAAACCCAAAAAAACGAAAAAAAAAAAAACAAAAAAAAAAAAACATCATAGTTTAACTTGTAAGGATTCTCATACAAATTGAAACAGATTTTTTTTTTTATTTTAGAAACCATGTTTTCGTAATAAGTAACCACTAATTTATTCTTTCATTTTTTTTTAGGGGGTGGGTGTTTAAAAAATGAAAATAGACCAACCCTTGTCTAATATGTGAGAAGTCATCAATTCACCACAGCTGCAGTTATGCCATTATCGCCAGCAATAGATTTTTTTTTATTATAAAGTGAGAATTTCATTACTTCTGACAAAAGCCAGGTGTTTAATTAACATTTTTAGGGTGGGAGAGCAATAAAAAAAAAAAAAAAAAGAAAACCGATAGATATCAAAAACACATATGCGTACGTAATAATAGTTTTAAAGTGCGGCCAACCCAATTTTTAAAATGACCAGCAATATATTTTGAAATTTATAGTAAAATTGAAGATATGACATACATTGTCAAAAAAAAAAAACATTTGCTATGATTAATCTCATTTCATGTCAGGAGAAAAACATATTTTCACGCCTCGTTTGATTTTGTAAAATTATTTGGTAAAAAAAATATTGCTAAGTAATTTTAATTTAATCATGAATTAATGTCATTCTCTTGAATTATAAAGTTTGAATTTTTGTATTTAGTTTCAGCATTGAATAAACCATACGGTTTGATATGCTGCTAAACAAAAACAACTAAACCATCATTCAATAACTTACCTTGAGTGGCTCATGGGCCTTGTATTGGGTGAACTGCGGTAAAAAATTCCAAGTGCCATACTGATACCAATTTTATTCTATTATAATTGTGTTTGTCGTTTCATTCGTTAGTTAGCGCGACCGTTATGCCCTGTCAATCCCTCATAAATAATGGACTATTCCGCGTTTTGATCACATGGAAAGAGGGGAAAAGACATGACTTGGTTTTAGTGAGAAAATGAAATAAAGAAGAATGAAAGAAGGGAAGATAGAAGTGTAGAGGCAAAATCAGACTAAGCTGATAATCTAAATACATGCAGGAAAAATTCGACTCATCAACTCTGCTGCTGCCAATAAACAATCTGCTCTTGCTTGGATGATTTAGATGTTTTTTCTTATAGATTCTTTTTGCTTTATTTCCTTGCAGATTTTGTCTGTTGCATCCGAAGTCCGTTGATGGGGGGGGGGTCCATAGATGAGAAGCTTGTCTGCACTGTTTAATAAATAAACGGACTGTCTATCGAATTACTATATATATACTATATATATGTATATAAATTCCCAAGAGGATAGAAGCCAGGTAGAACTCAATGTCCAGGACAGAGTAAGAATATATATATATATAACACGATATATATATATAGTGTTATATATATATAGTGTTATATATATATATATATATATATATATATAATCGACTCTCCCGTCGAGATTCGACGTATGAGGGACAAGCAGAACAGTTTCCAGGAAGGCCACAGCCCGACACCGGCACATGAGATTTGATTATAGTGGTGAAGGCTTCGTGCAGGACCATCCACACTTTTTGAAGGGACGAATACAGAGACCTGGTGCACCGAATGCCACAACGTTCCCAAACGACCCTCCGCAGGTTTTGAATTCAGAGTTGTCCTTTTCCTAGACCAGTTGTTACTTCTACTCTATCCTCTATTAGTATACGGATCGCTTTTCTCTACTCTATTCACTATACTATTTCTCAATTCAGATCACTCTTCGGTGGTTACTATTCGAGCCAGTATTATTGAGCAAGTACTACTAGTGCAAGTATTATTCGAAGGCGTCTGACACCAGTATTGTTCAACGGCGTTACTATAGTTGTATCTGCGATTACAATGTCTCTACTACAACGAGAATTACGAAAGTCACGAGTTTCCGTTGGCATCACAAAATATACAAATGGGAGAAAGAACAGATGGAGTAAAATTGTGCAGCGATTTCAACAGGTTTTTTATTATAATTTCTTATAATAATAATAATAATAATATCCCTAATTCCGACAAGAATACAGTCCATAAATCGGGGTTGAATAAGACCAACGTACTTCGCGTTGCCTGAAATAGATTTATCCCCATATGAGGTAACTTTGGATTTTGTTGTGTAATATACATCATACCTAACGTCGATAGCACGACTCGGAGCTTCATGCAGTTGCTGCAATCTTTAGGTCTATTTTTATCCTACACATATACACATACATATATATATATATATATATATATATATATATATATATATATATATATATATTGTCATGGGTCCTTATAACTACAGAATGAACTCTTCCTAACACTATGTATACTACGCCTCTCAAGAGAGAGAAGTTCGGCTTGACGGTCGAACTCTCTGCCTCTGAGCAGAGAGGAACCCGGACGAGGCTCCGCCAAAGGGCAGAGTCTCTTTCGGGGAGGTTGCCCAACCCGATCCCGTTTATACGGGTTCTACGGGTATTTTTTGGCCGAGCCCACGGGCTCGGGAAACCCACGTTAAATTCGGCCTTGTGCCACATGCAACCTGGACCGTAACAGTGGCGACGAGGATATTGAAGAAACGAATTCTACGCGGAGGATATAAAAAAAAATAAATAAAAAAAACAGTTCTACGCGAAGATAAAAGATAAAAAACTTTTTGGACACCAACCATAACAGTGGTAACGAAGACACGAATTTTACCTGTCAGCCAGAATAGAACCGAATTCTACGCAGGAAAATCTTTTCGTACTAAGGTTCCAAAACAACAGACGACAAAGACCTGAAGTCTACACTGAGAAAAAAGGAAAAATCGTTACACAAGTACACAACTCTAGCTACAAAGTACATATTGCGAAAAGAAAAAGTAAGGGGAAAAAGTTTTTTAATTTTTTTCCTCCTCTTCTCGTGACAACAGATAGCATGTGTTATTATTAAATTACGGTGTAAACATGGAAAACTTTAAGGCAACCATATTGGAACTAATGAAAATGCAATTCGATCAGAAAAAAATGAGTAAAGACAGACTAGGCTCGAAGAAAAACAATTAGAAATTCAACAGAAAAACAAAGAAAAGCAACTCAAACTACAAGAATTACTACTATGGGCAGTAACAAATAAAGGACATAATTCTGAAAATGAAGCGGCATTCTCGCAAAATGCTATATGGAGCTCAATCAAAGACTTCACTTATGCACCGGACGAAGACAAAACCTTCGCGGCTTACTTCAGAAGATATGAAGATCCATATGAGTTTGATTGCGGGAATTGGTCAGACGCGAAAAAAGTATGTCTACTACTGAGGAAACTAGTGTCAAGCGAATACACTAAATTCGTAGACTACATCCTACCGTGGAAAACGAATGAGTTGACTTTCAGGGAAGCCGTGAAACTTTTAACGGAATTATTTAGTTCGAACACTTCACTATTCCACAAAAGGTAGAAATGTTTAAATTTAACAAAAACGGATAGCGAAGACTATATAACATTCGCTTCCGTACTAAACAAACACTGCGATGACTTTAAGTTATTTGAACTCAGCCCTGACAATTTTAAAAGTTTGATATTCGTCCAAGGCCTAGTTTCGACTAAAGATGCGGAGATCAGACGGAGAATTCTAAGAAAACTGGAGAGTGAACCAAAACTAACGCTACAAAAATTGGCTGAGGTCTGTCAGAGATGTATAAGCGTAAAAAAAGACTCGAAAGATATCGAAGAGACTGGCATCGCTCACATACGAAAAATACAACGACAAACACGTTTTTCTCCCTCCTCAAAAACAAACCAAACCAATTATTTTACTACAAAAAGTCAAATGAAACCTCAGAAGAAACCACCACCCACTCCATGCTATCGCTGTGGGATTTTACATTGGTACAAATATTGTCCATACCGCTATAAGACTTGTCTGTCGTACAATAAAGTGAGACATAAAAGTTCGCACTGTAGAACCAAGAAAGAAAACCAAAGCCGAGTAAGAGTCACTAGAACTGACCAATCGGACGGGATAAATATAAGAAAATATGTACAAGTAGAAATGTTAAACAGAAAAATCAGATTACAATTAGATTCCAGATCAGATTTAACCATTATTAACTTACAGACGTGGAAGAAATTAAACAAACCGACTATGTTGAGAACAGATAAAATAGCCAGGTCGGTAACAGGAAGAAAAATTAAATTTGAGGGGGAGATTATCAAAATGTGACGTTCAAAGGGATGACCAAGAAATTAAAGATGTATGTTCTAAAAAATACGGAAAATTTATTTGGAACTGACTGGATGCAGAAATTTGACCTCTGGGATTTGCCGATAAATACGTTCTGCCATAAAGTGGAAAGGTTATCGATCGAGGCAGAGAAATTGAAGGAGAAATTAAAGGAGAGTTTCCCCGACGTATTTTCAGTCGGCCTCGAGAGGTGTAAAAAAAATGACGGCCAAAATCGAACTAAAAGAAAATGTACAACCCATTTTCAAGAAGAAA